CGCCATCGCCCATAGGAACCACTACTTCCACCTATACCGTAGCGACATGTCTGACTGCAATAGACGTCTCTTTGCCGCCGCCCGTAACGATTGTAAGCGTGTCCTAAATGATGCTAAGTCACTATTTGCGGCTCGAATGAAGGAACGTATTGCATCTCGCAAATTTGGCTCCAAAGATTATTGGCGTCTCTGCAAGAGTGTATTGAATAAGTGCAAACCCTCTATACCTCCTCTATTCAACCAGTTCGAAGTCTTGACCTCCTCTACCGACAAGGCTGAATGCTTTGCTCGGAAATTTTCATCCAACTCGACGCTCGACTCTTCTGGTGTACCCATACCTGACTTTCCTCTTAGAACTGAGGCCATATTGAGTGGGTTAAACATAACCCCAACCTTGGTACTGGGCGTTATCTCCAATTTAGATCTCAACAAGGCGAGTGGTGGAGATGGGATACCAGCCATTGTCTTCAAGAAATGCGCGCCTGAACTGGCGCCCGCCCTTTCGAAACTATACAACTACTGCCTCAAGGAATCTTGTTTTCCTGACTGCTGGAAGTTCTCTTCGATTGTTCCTGTCTTCAAGAACTCCGGCGACCCCTCTGACCCTTCCAACTACCGTCCTATCAGTCTCCTTCCCCTCTTCGGAGAAAACTTCGAAGCTCTAATCAATACCGGGGTGGTTAACCACCTCACATCCAATAATCTGCTCTCAGACAAGCAATATGGTTTCCGCTTTGCCAGATCTACAGCCGATGTGCTCACAGCCATCACGGAAACAGTCTACCGAACTCTCCAAAATAACGGGGAAGCCCGAGCCGTGGCACTAGATATCTCCAAAGCATTTGATAGGGTTTGGCACGCCGGCCTTCTCCGCAAGATCCAGGGTTATGGCATTACGGGTCAATTATATAACGTAATACAATCATTCCTGTCAAACCGTGAATTGAAGGTCGTTCACAACGGATTCTCCTCCAGTTCCTACCCCACGAACGCAGGAGTTCCTCAAGGCTCCATCCTAGGCCCCACTCTATTCCTTATCTATATAAATGACCTTCCTGACGCCGTAACTTCTCAAGTCGGCATCTACGCGGATGACACCACAATTTATTCCTGCCTCAAAAACAAATCCAGTCTCGCTGACAAAACTCACCTTGCCGTGCGCCTCGAAAAAGGACCTCCAATCGATTGTGAACTGGGGCAAGATTTGGCTGGTCAACTTCAACGCTTCGAAGACTAAACTGCTCTCTATTAATCACCACAGAGAGCCTTCCCTTCCCTCCATTATAATGTCTGACGCTCAACTTCCGAGAGCAACTCTCTGCGGCTTCTCGGTCTCACGTTGACTGCTGACCTGAGATGGAATAAATACATCGAGTCAATTGCCTCGTCCACTGCGAGGAAAGTTGGCTCCCTGAGCCGTGCTAGGAAGTTTTTCTCCCCCGGAGTCGATCCTCCAGATATACAAATCCACAATTCGCCCTTGCATGGAGTATTGCTGCCATATATGGTCTGGCGCCCTTCTGTTTGCCTCAGGGTTCTTGATAGGCTCCAGAGGCGGATATGTAATATGATTGGCCCTACCCTGGCGTCTCGTCTACAGTCACTTTCTCACAGACGCACCGTCGCCTCCCTCTGTCTGTTCTACAAATACTTTCATGGAAATTGCTCCGAGGAACTGCATTCGCTGGTTCCCAAACTTCATGAGTTCAAGCGCCCTACGAGGCTGGCATCCCGCTCTCACCCCTTCACTGTCGAAACTCATAAATGTAGCCGTCTCTACTACTCTAATAGCTTCATGTCTCGCACCTCTCGCCTGTGGAACTCTCTTCCCTTCTCCTGTTTCCCTGAGAGTTATAATCTCCAGCTATTCAAGTGTAATGTCAATCGACATCTCCAGTTGCCTTAATCTATCTACTACCCTCATCCTTTCTTCTATCACTCCTATCTGATCTTCCTATTTTCTGTAACCCCTTGCGTCCTAGTGGCTCCCCGCCTTGCTTGGGGTGAAATGCTTAAAAAAAAAAAAAAAAAAAATTAACTATTACACCACCCGCACACCTAAGCTTACAGCACCTGTTATTTCAAAACGGCCGCCTATGTAGTTCGACCTTGCTTAACTTCGTTGATCGTACGTTAACCGGGGTTTCAACGTTATGTAGCCGTAAGCCCTGAAGTCATTAGTATTTTTCAATTTCGGGAAACCAATTGTAATGACGAACATATCCATCGAATTAAATGTTGCTAAATATATATATATATATATATATATATATATATATATATATATATATATATATATATATATATATACAAATGTTACGGCAGTTTTTATATGCACAAATCCCTTTCATAAAGAAATAAAATAAAAAAATTAAATAAATCTCCATAAACACGTAAACCAGACTAGGCGAAAACATCGTTTCAAATTTAGACACCCCCTTACCCTGACTTGACATCTATGAAAGTAACTTTATACTGATACGTATTATTAACACCCAACACGCCCCTACCTATTTTAAATAATCCGCCCTGGCTGTTACCATGGAAATTTTGATTTCAATTATGAATATACTATTAAAACACTTAAATTTCAGAAATAATTTATTCCAGAAAAAAATTTGCTTGAAGATGGAACAGAGCTTACTTTAATTCAATTTAATTCAAATAATTATATTGAAGTTTTCGGCTCTTGTTTTGAAACATGAGACCTCTTACATCGCGAGTTGGAATCATATTTTTAAATAAATAATTATATTTATGCTCTACTTTTGTATCGAGCACTATTTTTAAAAATAATAGCAAAAATACTAAAGAACTTTGGATTATTTACCTAACCAGTTCTTTCCTATTTTCTATATATTTTCACACACACACACACACACACACACACATATATATATATATATATATATATATATATATATATATATATATATATATATATATATATATCAACTACTGAAAGATCCTAATACTAACCCAAAGACCAAATCTACCTGTAGCTTCAGGGAAGGATCTGTTTGTCCTTTGTCCTGTAAATGGAGTATGTCTGTCCGAAAACGTCGTATACGAGGCTACAATTTTCCCCAAGGAGGATGTTACACAAAAGAAGATCTACATAGGCATTTCGGCGGGAAATTGTAAACAACGGTTTTATAACCATCGCCAATCCTTCACCAATGAATCAAAAAAGAATTCAACTGCCCTTTCTAAGCACTATTGGGAGTTATTGGAAAACAAATTAACCCCACAAATAAAATGGAGAATCATCTCAAAAGCTAAAACTCCAATAAATTTCAGAGACCGATGCAATTTGTGCATTAAGGAAAAACTTCTAATTATAAAACATAAGGATCCGGACAGATTATTAAACAGACACAACGAGTTGATATGTAAATGTAGGCATAGAAACCACCTCATCTTAACGAAGTATGTGTAGATCCAACCATATAAAAGGGATAATTTTAATTTTGTTTTTTGAAATACATGCTTGAACACATGAACATTGTAATCTTTGATATGTGGGTTTTTGTTATATGTGAACCTATTTATGTATATATGTATGAACAATATTGATAAGGGTGTTTATATTTATATATATATATATATTTAATTTGTGGGCACATGTGTATGGTAGTATGGGTGTATATATACATATATATATGTATGTGTGTATGTGCGAATATGAATATACTAGTGGAGGGCATAATTGAATAATGACATTATTATTTATGCTAGGTGTCGTTATGTGTATATATATATAAGTGTGTGAATTCTACATGTGTGTGAATTTACATGTATAGGTATGTAGTTGTACATGTATGTGGATATATATGTATATTGTATGTATATGTGGGGAGATATATGTATACATGTATTTATTTATATATATATATATATATTTTTTTTTTTTTTTTGCAGGATTTGATCTTAAATAGAAGTGATGAGATCATTATAATGACATTTAAAGTTAATATTCTTAATACTTAATATCACCTTATATTCTTAGTACTTAATATCACGTGAAATATTTAAATATAGATTATGTTTATGAAATGTATATATAATTTATGTACGAAGATGAATGATTTTTTGTGGATATTGTTACATGTGTGTCCATGTATGTATTTGTACTTGTTAATGTAAGTATGTATAAACTTAAAGAAATAGATTTATGAGAGACATATAAGAAAAAACAAAATATTTAATATTACCTTCTAATACCTTTAAATAATGAAACCTAAACCTTAATTAAACTTACCAATATAACAATAAATAAAAATTGCATTCACTAATTATTTTAGATATTAATATGGATGATTTCATTGTTACCATAGGATTCTTTCTATATTGTGAATCACAATATTTCGGGTAAATGTACTATTGCAAGCTTAAATTTTTCTTTAATATAATAAATATATTTTTTACAATAATAGTAAACTTGTACTAAATCCCTAAACTAGTTAATTTAAGAATTTAAATACTGAATTTAAAAAAAATTTTTTAGACACCTAATTCTCTATCAAACATTATAATCTATATTTTACATAATTTTGTTAAAACAAAATTACTGCTTAATTCGATTCACTTCCATCTCCCCCTTTACCATAAAAATATTTTGATTAACTTTCCTCTCACCCTCTCCCTTTGCCCTCGTCGGGGTTTCCTGCTTATTACGTACCGCCCCGGCCATGTAGATACACGATGCATATTATTAGTTGATGACTGACAATATAATGTCAGTTTAAAAATTTTTTTTTTTTTTTCTGAAAAAAAAAAGGGCCCCAAAAAACGTGGTCTGGGGTTTCGTCGGTAAGACACTCCGACCTTGCGACCGTTCTATAAGATGACAAGAAGACTGGTCCCTTTCTGATCAGTTTCGTTTTGCAGGCGTTAAAATTTTCAAGCAACGGAAGCAAAAACATTTTTGATTGACACCAATAATAAAAGAGTAGAAATCCAAAGAATCTGTAAGTTAAAAATAAAGAATTATTTCTTACCTAATTTCCCTACCGTTCCATTCACCTCACGTTTTACCGGTTCTTTAGACTCTAGTTCGAACACATTATTTGAGTGCATTATAATCTACAAAAAAAAAAAAAAAAATATTAATACATAAAGAAGAGGTACAAAGCGTTATCATTGCAATGAAAACAGTCATGATTAAAAGGTACAAGCGGAAAGTAGTTGGTAAAACGAAAAGTAAACATGAAAAACAAATACTAGTTTCTTCCTGGGTACCTCGGCGTTGTGTAATGGTCAGCAGGCTTGTCTCGCTAAAACAGTTAACACTGAAGAGTGAGTTCGATCCTCACTGGGTACCCCATACTTTCGGCCTTGTGTCACATCTCAGCTGCGCTTTGAAAATCATTTTACTGGCTACCTGAATATCGGGTAGTTAGGCTGCATGAGTTGGCCGCGTGCTCAGCTCTTAGCTGTTGTCGAACTCTCTGACTTCGGGCAGAGTGGAACCAGGACGAGGCTATGCCGAAGTGCAGAGTCTCGTCCGGGGAGGTAGAAAGCCGTGGTGTACGGGGAATTTTTGGCCGACCCTATGGGCTCGGATAGCGCTACATTAAATTCGGCCTTGTGCTATATTCTAACGCGTGGGGAGGTCGCTAAATATTACTACAGTATTTTCGACCAATTCCAAAAGAGTCCTGCATATCTTTCCGACTAGTACCGTAGTTTACTGATGTAAGTGTCAATGTGACGCTGACTACATAGCTAGGACCAACAGAGTACTTCAACGTGCTGTAATGGTTAGCAAGCTAGATCAATTATGACTGAGTTCGATCTTCACCGGGTTCCATACTTCCGGCCTTGATCCACATCTAAGCTTTTTCGATCACTTCGGTTCGGTGTAATGATTCGCAAATTTGTCTAACATGATCAATTACGACTAAGTAGTGAGTTCGATTCTTACACTGTACTTCATACTTTCGGCCTTAAACCACATTGAATTTAGGCTTAGTAAATCACCATAGTAAGTTCACAAAAATTCTAGAGAAAAGGATTGATCAACATATCCCAGCGTGTATTAAAAATGGTCGCCTGGAAAAAAAAAAAGTTACGTAATTGTGCCGTTACATCCGGGTTTTCAAACTCGGAACACATTATTAAAAATTGGAAATATGCATCATCCTTTCAGGAGGATATATTATCAGCTTTGAGTGGATTACATTCTAACAATCAAGTGATTGAATTATATTAAATTAAGACATCCATCCCCATGCTCATAAAAAGTTTGCTTGTTAGGAATTACTGGAATCTTTTCATAGATATATTCATCTCAATATATTATTGATCTGTGTATTTTGTTTCCCTATTCATAGTCAGCGTGCAAAATATTTTAATTGCTTCGCTCGCTTTCTGACCAGTGAAGAGCGATAACCGGTTAACTTATTCTATAGGTTTGTAAAATCTTTTCTTTTTTTTTTTTTTCATTTTTGGATTTCGTATTGCAGTTTTCCTCGTGTTATTTTTAATTATGAAAGGTTTATGAATATATTTTTGTATCCCGGGTACCTTTTTGTGGTTGATTTGAAGAAGTATTTCAAGTTCAAAGCAAGACAAAATGTTTAATAGCCAAAGTACAATAGAATGAAAAAGAAACAGTTGAAATTTAGTATAAATAAAAACGAAACAGTTTATATTCCCAGGACACAAAACGAGGAAATATGGCGATGAATACTGGACACTTTCTTCATCGCTGAAGAGGAGACATGAGACAAAAAATATTTAGTTCTACAGAAGGATAATAAGAATGTCATGAGGTTTAGGATCAGAAAGAGACAGTGGGGATTTGTAGATCCCATAATCAGGAATGGGGGCTTTAAAAATTGACACAATGAGGACATATTAAAGGCTAGAAGGATATAAGGAAAAGTAACACGACTGAGTAATCTATTATCAGAAGGGGGAGCTTGGAAAAACAAAAAATTATAATAGCTACAAAGGAGAAGGAGTTGTAGACAGCCCACGACCTGAAGGGAAACGGCACAGAGAAGAAGAAGAAGAAGAAGAAGAAGAAGAAGAAGAAGAAGAGGAGAAGGAGGAGGAGGAGGAGTGAGTTAATTATAAAAACCACCAACCAAATAATCACGTATTTACAAGCATGTGAACATATTACAAATAACAAAGCAACATCAGTGTTAATCTTTTAAATAAGGACGGTCGATTTGACGTGAAAACAGCATTCTCCTTCAGTTTAAAATAAACGGAGGATCAATTCTAATATAGATATGCACTAAAAATAACATTTAATGTAATAAAAATATGACGGATTAATAAATAAAAATTTCATTAGTTTTTAGAAATATATATATATATATATATATATATATATATATATAATCATATATTTAAAAATATGATTCCATCGCTACATAAGAGTTCACAGGTTTCAAAACAAGAGCCGAAAACTTCAATAGAATCATTTGAATTCAATTGAATTAAAGTACCAAGCTCTGTTCCATCTTCAAGCGAATATTTTTTTTGGGGGTGGGGGGGATAAATAATTATATTTTTTAAATAAATAATTATATTTTTTAAATAAATTTTTAAATTTAATTATTTTTAAATAAACAATTATATTTTTTTAAATAAATAATTATATTAGGCTCTACTTTTGTATCGAGCTCTGTTTTTAACAAAAATACTAAAGAACTTTGGATTATTTATCTAATGAGTTTCTTCCTATTTTCTATATATTTTCACACACACACACAAAAACACACACACATATATATATATATATATATATATATATATATATATATATATATATATATATATATATATATATGCCTTCGGACAGAGTCTCGTCCGGGGAGGTAGCCCCACATAAAATTCGGCCATGTGCTACATCCTAACGCGAGGGGAGGTCGCTAAATATTAAAGAGTCCTGCATATCTTTCCGACTAGTACCGTAGTTTACTGATTTAAGTGTCAATGTGACGCTGACTACATAGCTAGGACCAACAGGGTACTTCAACGTGCTGTCATGGTTAGCAAGCTAGATCAATTATGACTGAGTTCGACCGGGTTCCATTCTTCCGGCCTTGATCCCCATCTAAGGTACGCTTAGAAAACCATTTCGATCACTTCGGTATTGTGTAATGATTCGCAAATTTATCTAACTAGATCAATTACGAGTGAGTAGTGATATAGTATATATATATATATATATATATATACTATATGACTACATAGTCTTAATTGATCTAGTTAGATAAATTTGCAAATTTTCTAACTAAATCATTTACGACTGAATAGTGATATAGTATATATATATATATAGAGAGAGAGAGAGAGAGTCTATATCTAGTTAGATAAATTTGCAAATCATTACACCATACCGAAGTGATCGAAATATTTATATATATATATATATATATATATATATATATATATATATATATATAATTATGCAATGGATTAAATCCGGCAAATATCTTAATATATTTACTATCCATAAAAATAATGTATAAACAGAAAATATATTAAAGTATTTGTCGGATTTCATCCATTACATATAATATGTTGCCATTGTTAACGTTAGGTTACGTTTCAGAACAGAAACCAATTATCGAGAAAGGTCGTCGAATATCTATGTTTAAACCTTCTGTTCTCTCACGGCAGGCAAAATGACGGTTTCAGCATGAGATACACGTTCGATTCCTGTCGGAGGACGCATATTTTCTGAGTAAATATTCAGGTTGGTAAATGTAATTAATACTGTTAAATTAGAAACAGAGCACGTACTCAAATAAGTTGTATCCATAAAAATAACGTATAGACAGAATATATATATATATATATATATTAATAAATGTGTGTGTGAGAGAGAGAGTGTGTGTGTGTGTGAGAGAGAGTGTGCGTGCGTGTAATATTTATATATTATATTTTATTAAAATATACACACACACGAAGACACACACACACATATATATATATGTGTGTGTGTGTTTATGTGTGTGCGGATGTGTGTGTGTGTGTGTGCGTGTGTGTTATAAGAGAAATAGCAAATAGGAGACGTTTATCAATCTAACATACTTGAATTTTTAAAACCTTTGTTAGAGAATGAGACCTGGAGGAAAAGAACAAAGAAATTCTAATATTTTTTTAAATTTTGTATTCTTTGATTTTCATTGGTTTCACGAGTATTCAACTTTTTAAACCAACGTTAGTTTATTTTATGGTTCTTCCAAATTCAAGGAGAGACGACACGTCCCTTCGAAGTTTCAAGAAATTAACGGATCCCAAGCCTACCTAAAAATTGTATGTGTATAATAATTCGAGTTTGTCTATGTGGGATTCAGATAATAAGTGTATGCGTGTGCATGTATCGAGTACACATTATATTTGTTGGTTTTTCGCGTGTTGATTTGGGAATGTTTTTACGTACATACCGATTATTTTAGATAATCATACGTTGAGATTCTTTAAGAATGGCTTCATGGATTCAATAACGGTCGCTAATGTAATATAATGTTTTTGATGCGCGTTTATAGTTGATAATATTGTTAATAGTATTCCCTCGAAGTACTTTCTACACAAAGAATTATTTTCTTCTTTAATTAGGGTGGAATTGTTAAAATCAATGTAAATTAAACAATTAGTAGTTGGGGTGTTTTTGAGAGAATTAAAATTCCTACCCGGATTCATGTGTACATTTCTCTTTCGCTAAACATTACACTACCTTCACCCCTCCCCAACGAAGATTAAGTAGACAATGAGAAATGGTTTTCACAACATATAATAACCTATTAATAATATTATAAGTGATGGGGTAATGTAATTCCTAACCGGATTCATATGTACATTTAAATGTTGACAATTAAATTTTCTTTTTATGATTGCATGACACCTCAAATGTTTGTATCTTCTGATCCAGAAATCTTGTCTCATGAAATTTCTGGTTGTGGCTTGGGGTAACTCGTACTAACCAAAAAGCAAAGGCAAATGATTGTAAGAATAATAACAGTAAATGAGTAAATAGACTTACTACAGGGTCGGACTAGGTGCAATTAATCTATAGTTTTACAGACATATATCCCTTGTCTAATCATCTTTTATACAACTTCTTGTGAGTTTTAAATTCAGAGTTTTCCTTTTCCGAGATTGGTTACCACTCACAGAAAAAGATCCCAGTCTGCCTTTCTATTTAAACCATAGCTGGTGGAAATGAAATAACTTGTCCCCAAAATAATTATGCGAAAATGAATGCAATGAACTTGATCAGAATTCGAACACGGCTCTTTGAGTTCTCTTTCCGAGTCGCTAAAAATTACATTACCCCATCACTTATAATATTATTAGTAGGTTTTCTTTTCTTCAAAATAAAAATATCGACTTCTAAGTTTACGATGAGCTTAAAATGGAGTTGATTCGTATCACAAACATATTCAGGTTTCAGCGTTAGAGGTTGATATGCCACTAAACAAAACCAACCAACCCACCCAATTAGTTTTAGGACGTTGCTAGAGGATAGACAAGAAGCCCAGGTTTGAGACGATTCCATTTTTATGTCGAATAGACAAAGACATTTACAACTCCATCTATGTTGTCGGATTTAGGATTCCTGTTGATTTCCATTGAAAATGTAAAGGAAAGCATTGGCTCCTCTTGGCTGTAGTTACAAGTGATGTGTGAGGTGCAAGTTAAACCGAACAGAAGATTTCCCATTCAATGTTTATCCATTCAGTTTCAACAGTAATACGCCGAAACTTATTACTACGGCGAATAACCTTACGTAACGCATAATGTATTATAGCTTAGCATTACCAAATTTAAACAATACAAATGCTCTTTAACAATTGCTCAGTATGAATTATGATTGAACAGAAACTATAGCTCTCCATTTCATTTCTCTTATATACATATCGGTTATATTGATAAAAGCAAAACTTAGATAATCTGTCAACACCTGTCAGACAGAAATCAATATGTCCAATCAATATTGCCTTTCAAATTTAAAATTCCTGTTTATTTTAGATAAACTGTTTAACTTTGGCATTTCTCTAGGTTAAACATTCAGATTTCAACACGGGGTCTAACTCAACTACAGGTTTTCTTTTCTTCAAAATAAAAGTATCGACTTCTAAGTTTACGTTGAACTTGGAATGGAGTTGATTCGTATCACAAATAATTCATAAAACCTTTATGTGCTGATCAAATACAAACATACAGAAGGTCTTAAAGTTGTGAAACTATAGACTTCCATTATTCTCTGACATTCAGTTAAGTTATCATAATAAAATCATACACTCAGACAATCTGTTATTAACTGAGCCAAAATCGTTATGTCCAATAAATTATTAATATAAAGTTTGTGAGTGGCATAACAGATAAAATCTCAGAAAATGGAAACAAGTTCAAATCTCGTCTTCGGCACTTAATCTCTGCATTAGACTAATCACCCTAGGAAAGGCATATATCTATTTCATCTTTTGTTGGGGCGCGCCCACCTTCTCAGGAGAATGGACTGATCTCTCTACGATATAGGTCAGTGCTAGAGAGATCAGGGACGTTCTGTGGAGTTCACGAGATCAGGAGATCATAGAGATCAGGAGACCATTGCACTTCCGTCTCTCTACCGGAAGTTACCGTTGGACTGTAGACTCTTGCTAATTGTTATTACTAACCTACGTTCGTTATTACTAATCACCCTGTTGTTAAATACCTCTTCAAATATACCAGTATTTTTCCCTACATATGTGTTTGTCCTTATTTGAATACACACACGCGGGAAAAATCCCAACATCTCAACATCTTTTGGATTTTATTGCAGTTTTATTCTTGTATTGCACCCAGTCCATAAGAAAGACAACACTGATATAAACACGGAACTAGAGCCCGAGTAGTATAGATATAAAAATTCGTCATATGCTCCTATAGCAAACATAATGCCAGTACGTATCAGTTGTCGAAATATAAATTTTCAATGAAACAAAAATGACCTTTCGCAATTCGAGAACGCCAACTACTTTTATCGATGGAAAAAATTTTTCATTGGTCGACCGAGAGGACAATGTCAGCATATCCGATATGTATTTATGGCAACACCTGCGACTGACTTGTTTCTATTTTGGTTATTTGGTGTTTGGCATATCGTACAGAACACACGTGCCCTTTTTCTCATTAAGTGACTTTCTCATTCGTCACAGTTGTTTAATTCTCACTGGTTAATCAGGTTTCACGTGCATTCGACTTTTTAAACCAACGTTAGTATATCTTGTGGTGTTCCGATTTCAAGGAGAAAAGAATCGTCCATCCAAAGTTTCAATTATTTAACAGATTCCAAGCATGGCTGAAAAAGATTTTTCAATATTTAAATAGTTTTTTTTTCAATCCTGTAACGGTTATGTAATCACTTAAACAAGCAGCGAGCCAGGCAGGCCTCTGTCGCAATGTGAGTAAGACAGATTATATCACAACCTCAAACTGAACCATCCGAATTGAAAGCCACTCAATAATTCATTATTAAAAGAGTTGAGGATTCAAATATCCTGGATCTCACATAATAGATTCCCAAAAAGACTTCAACATCCTCGAAGCTCTTACATGGGATGCGTGTAACAAACTTCACAAGATTTGGCAATCGAACCTTCCATCATCCTTAAAAGACGAAACCTCGCGAACATTGATTGAAACAGTCCTACTGTATGGATCAGAAACTTGGATATTATCTGTTCGTCTTGAAAGACGACTGGATGGAACATATATACATCTACTTAGAAAAAAAAAACAGAACATCAGTTGGAGATCCCATGCAATGCTTAACCCAATTTACGGAGAACTGAGACCAATATCTCTTAAGGTCAAGCAAAAACGTTTGCAGTTTGAAGGTCACTGCCACCGAGTAGACATGGAAATCATTTCATCCATTCTTCTGGAATGTGTCTTTTCACGAAAATTGACTTTCCCAGGCACCATAGCTCGGGACTTAAGTTTGGACATTGGGGATGAGAAGAAAGATATAAAAGACCGAACAGTGTGGAAAGGGATTGTCAATGGAGATCCACCCAACCATAGGGAGGTTGAAGAATGATGCTGATGAACGGTTATGGCCCTGTCTAGTAACTATTATGGAGGCTTACTTTCAGAATCGACGTTCAAATCACGCTGAAAACATCACTGTTGAAAAATATTTAAACCTACAAAGGGTTGATAAACCGTAAAAAAACAAATGAATTAACCCATCGTAACTCTTTGTTTAAAGTGGTTTTCAACATCTTATATATGTCAATATATTTTCTTCGAATTTTATTTGTTACTGTTGAAAGTCTTCAAGAGATGCAGTTTTAGTTATTTGTAACACTTCCTACTGATTTTATAGCGCCAGTTAATGAGAGTTGAAAAAGTACTGTTGTCCCTGTTGTCGCTAATACCCACAGGATCTGCGTGTGTGTTTGCGCGCACTTGTGTGTGTGTGTATACGCGTGAGCAGGTTGTGGACGGGTTGGTGAAAAAGGCCCTGAAAGAAAAGAGATCTTACAAAAAAACGTTTATTTTGTACCTTAAATGTTGATGTTGTCGAACTTGACAATTTACTTTCTTGTGTTAGGCTGCTTTTTAATTATATGAAATTGATTTGGGTGGGTCCCACGGATCTTGTCGTAATTGGGTCAGTAGTCATGTTTCTGGCTTTTGTGACTCAAGCACGGAGACAATGCAGCGATTCAGAAATCGCCTGTCTAAATATTAGCGTGTTCCCATCGCGTCCCTGATAAGCTCTAAGCAAGGATGGAATAGTGCCTTGGCCCAGTTGAATAAACAGTCATATTTTCAGCTACAAGTTTTACGTTCAGGACGCGTAAAGTCTGGGAAATTCATCGCTTTAAATAAATAAGTCGGACCGAGAACACACACACACACATACACACACATACATACATATGCGCGTGCACGCACACAGACACACAAACGCACACGCACACACACATATATACAGTGTAACCGGGATATAAGAGACCCGGATATAAGAGAAACCCGGATATAAGAGAGATTTTCTCTGGTCCCAAATTAGAGCCTGTGTTAATGTATATAAAATAGACCAAACCCGGATATAAGAGAAACCCAGATATAAGAGAGATTTTCTCTGGTCCCAAATTAGAGCCTGTGTTAATGTATATAAAATAGACCAAACCCGGATATAAGAGAAACCCGGATATAAGAGAGATTTTCTCTGGTCCCAAATTAGAGCCTGTGTTAATGTATATAAAATAGACCAAACCCGGATAAAAGAGAAACCCGGATATAAGAGAGATTTTCTCTGGTCCCAAATTAGAGCTTGTGTTAATGTATATAAAATAGACCAAACCCGGATATAAGAGACTTCTTCTCCGGTCCCGACAACTCTCTTACATCCGGGTTACACTGCATATAAGTATTAAGGAAAAAGACAATGTGGACTTTTTCAAGGCAAAAAACGAAATGAATTTATTGAAACAAAATATCTCTAAACAACAAACAAAATGTCGCTAGCAACTAGAAGAATTTAGAAAAGCAATTGTATTTCATTGGACGAAACGCGTCGGCTAAAACAACAGTTTTCCTATTGTCTTTTTCCTTAATTCATATTGTCTTTTTCTACAGGTTGGTTTTGTGAACTCTTTACACACATACACACACACACACACACACGCACGCACACACACACACACACATTTATATATATATATATATATATATATATATATATATATATATATATATACAGGGTGACCCAAAAAAACGGGAATTTTTGAAGTGCGTATTGCCAGACATGAGCAAGTGGCAACACTGTGTCGACAGTGACCTTGAGCAAGTAAACATTTCGCCATTTAGAATTCAACATGGGATTCTGCAGCAGTCAATGAGGAATCTCCACAGCAGATTTCAAGAATGCATTCGTACAGGAGGACGCCATTTACAGGACGTAATTTTTATAAAAAATTGTAAATTCCATCATTGTTTCTTAAATGGCATGTTTTAAGGTTTCAATTACTATGAATAAAATATTTTTCTTCCATCACTCTTGGTTTTATTGGATTGTTAAAAAGTGCCCGTTTTTTTTTCGGTCACCCTGTATATTCAAGCAGGTTTCATTAAATTATATAGACATATTATGCCTATTTTTAGAATAATCTTTTCTAGTTTTCGAATTATCTTCTTGATGTTAAAATGCAGGCACCGTGTTTTTGGAACCCAAGAACATTCGATCTCCTTTGTGATCATCCTCACACCGATTAAAGTTACATTAAGTTTGTCTTCGGAATTCACTCTGAGGATGGTCTCGAAGAAGATCGAAAGTACTTGGCTTAAAGAAAATGTTATTTTATGCCTTTCTTTAACTAATATGGTTAAATGCGGTTAGTTGATGTTACGACATATCAACCATTTTGGCGTTATTTAATGTCAAATTTTTTATCCACTGGGAAATCAACTCAGTATTAATAATCAAGCAGCGTCGCCTCTCAAACCATTATTCTATTTAGTTACGATAGGTTCATATTAAAAGAGTAGCAGCATGGCCTGGCGTTGCCCGTGCCTGATTAAAAAATCGTACGACTCATACAGCAATCGCTATCACTTGACTTAAAATATTTTTGCCCTTTCTTGCCTTTAAAGGAGTGCCCTTTGCCGTGGATGACAATATATATATATATATATATATATATATATATATATATATATATATAGTTAAGGAAAATTAATGAGAATGTGGGAAAATGTTTTTATATATAGTGATGTTTCCGTTGATACGACTAACCATGAGATGGGACATTGAAATTTTTACAAATTACATGTTTTTAAACATCAGTGTTTGTATATATATATATATATATATATATATATATATATATATATATATATATATATATATATAGTCTAGCCAATTTTCAATTATAATTCTTTCTTTATTCTCTTTGCTTATACTTTTATCGCTTTTTTTTTTATTAAATATCCAAAATCGTAAAATTAGAAAGTCTGCCAAGAAATGTCACAAGTGGTAAGACCCTTGTCGTGTATTTACAGTGCATATTTTAAAGATTAAAGCATTTTCTATACACTTTCATCTCACTAAATTGCTTTCTCTTTTAATTAGAGTTTTAATTATTTTTTAAATCGAAATTATTATAACTCACATTACAGTAAGACACTGTTTTATTTAGTGTATTGTTTTTCAAAGGTCCATTTGGAGTTCAGGCATATATATATATATATATATATATATATATATATATATACCCACATATATGTGTGCCTGTGTGTGTATCTATATATATATATATATATATATATATATATATATATATATATATATATATATATATGTCTCTTACTTTATGCCCGTGCTTGATTTAATAATCGTACGACTCATACCGCAATCGCTATCACTTGACTTAAAATATTTTTGCCCTTCCTTGCCTTTAAAGGAGTGCCCTTTGCCGTTCTGATGTTGCTACATGCCTTACGTCTTGCCTATCTCACACTGCGAATTTTTTCTAAGCTCTATACTAAACATTAAATCTGTTACGAAAAAAGAACTAAACAAAATGAACACAAAACGATCAGCTTTAAAAAAGGACTCGTAACTGGAAAAACCGAATGAAAAAAGAATGTTAACAACAAATACTTTTTCACACCAAACCCGGTTCTGCGGAATCAGAATCAACGTTGAGTTTAAGCAAGCGAATGAGCCAATTGGTGTAAAGTGCCATGCTGATTTAAATTTTTCCCATTTGTGACGAATGCAGCTATCGATTTTTTTGCATGCTAGCATGCTAGTTAACATTCGTGTCAGTCAGCTGTTGGCTCTCACGCTGGCCAATAGAATCTTCCTGCCTATTCGTGGCAGCTAGCTATAGGCTCTCACTCTGGCCACCAGTACAAAATGGCCG